AGATGGTGGATCAGCACCTAGAGAGGACCTCTACAGCCCTGAATGTCAGCGGAGACCAGGACAACTAGATGAGCCCCAGAGACAGATCCCCAGTGAAGACCTTGTCTCCTAGACGGCCACCGGGACAAGACCACAGGAACCAGTTGAGTCCTCTGCACAATGTGACTTTGCTGCAGCCTGGAATTGAACTGCTGGTTTTGTCTGGCCACAGGAGAACAGGCCCCCCGACTGAGCCTGGTTTCTCCCAAGGTTTTTTCTCCATTCTCTCACCGATGGAGTTTTGGTTCCTTGCCTCTGTCGCCTCTGGCTTGCTTAGTTGGGGACACTTAATTTCCAGCGATATCGTCGTACTATTTAAACTGAACTGAGCTGGATGATGACATTACAGAATTCAATGATGAACTGCCTTTAACTGAAAATGTAGTGTTTACTATTGTCATTTTGCATTATTGACACACTATTTTCCTATTTAATACCGTAAAGTTGCTTTGGCACAATCTGTAGTTAAAAGCGCTATATAAATAAAGGTGACTTGAATTGACTAAATTAGCCAGAACCACAAAACCTCTCATTTACATTATTAAAGGGGAAAATCAAGCTTTACATTCCAAGCCAAATCTTTAATGATTGATAATAAATAATGATTGTTTAACAAAGTGCTCAGGATTATCATTAGATTGCACCTCCACCACATGGGCCTTCTCTTTTCTAATGACAGTGATGTTGTGTAATATATAGAGCAAATGACATCACAAATCTTCACTTGGTCAAAGGTCACTTCAATACGTGCCATGCAAATAGTATCTAAACAATTTGTGCCATAAGAACAACTGTACAGTTCACCCAAAAATTTAATTTTTGCCAACATTTACTTTTACATTACTTTTACATCATTTACCTGAAGCTCTAGAGTCAATAGTCACATAACATTTAAGTTCAGGTGACTGGACCTGAGCAAAGATGGCAGATTTAAAATGTTTTAGTTAGGGGGGGTCCTGCTGGAATTTGAGCAAATGACCTGCCTTAGAGACGAGAATTCAACCACTTTTGCTGTTAGCTGAGCAAGAAACTTGTAGGATAATTGATTTGCAGAATAATTCACTGTTTGAACGCAATCAAACACAGCACACTTAGGACATCTGCTGGTCACACATGCAATTTGCGCTTTGAGTGCCTAGAAAAGCGCTATATAAATGTAATGAATTATTATTATTATTATTATTATTATTATATGGGAAGACTTAAATCAGCAACAATCACACAGTTACTCATCCAGAGTAAGGAAAAGGGCAGGGAAAATCACTTTGGACCACTCACATCTAGGTCACTTCCATGAAGTGTTGTTGCCTGGTCACCACTATAGAGTGCTGAGCACCAGAACAACCAGGCACAAGAAAAGTTTCTTTCCTCAGGCCATCTACCTCATGAGCAGTTAAAAGCCCCCACTGTGCAATAAAAATGTGCAATATACTGTCCCTGCAAATGCCCAACATTATTTATACTCACATTTATTTGAAGTAGCATACTTTTTACTCACATTCCCTTTACACTGTATATAACATATATGTATCTGTACATACATATTTTGTCCATTGTCTTTTTTTGTCTATTGTTTATATCCCAATTCTCAAGCAGAAGGAGCTGGTTGCAAAGTTTTGAATAATATCAGTGTTCATTGACTGGAATCCCTCTGTATTCATTCACTTGGCTAGAGGAGAACTGCCTGTATTGTATTGCATTATATAAATAAATGTGACTTGACTTAGAAACTGTATTTTTTTAAGTTAAAAAGTACTCACAAAGTAGTATTATAAAGTAGTTTATCTACAGCCAAGCAACTCTTAAAAAAGCAGATAAATTGCATTTATAATGCTTCTGCAAAAGCTGCTTGATTTCAAAAATGTTTGTAGGTTAGTAACGACACTGCTCGTAGTTAGTTACATAGGAGAGTAACTTGTGTTGGCTTCCATGAATGCAGTTTACACATGTCAAGTAAAAAAAATCTATGCATTGATTGGGTGAACCTAATTTTACTCATAGCCTAGGCTACATATTTTGTTAAATATGTTGCTGAAAATATTTGTGTGATAGATAGATGATGAATGAATGTCTTTATGCTTTCTAATACAGATACAGGATCATTTTTGATAAATCAGAGATGACCCACTTTTCCTGAAAAGATGTTTGTCTGGAGTGCATGATCTCAAAATGTTTATTAGTATATATATATA